ATATCTTCACTAGTCATCTGCAATTAAACATGAGGGGGGAAATAGCTAGTGCAATAGGATATTAATTTTTCTCCACACATGGTACCCCGCTTGTTGGTCAATGTGTGTATAAAGGTCAACAAACGGATTTTGATTTGAACGGGATAGTCGAAGTATTTTAAATAGACCAGATATATTACATACTAAGAATCGGATAGGAAACTTTAGTTAGAAGTGATTTGTTGGTAATTTGGAATCTCAGCATATTAGACCGTAGTCATCATCTCCCCACTGCATGCCCCAACTGTTCATTATTTTCCAATAATTGATCACATCTTTTACACCATACCCAACGATAACAGCGTGCAACCCATCTCCACCCTTGTCAGGAACCCTGTAAATCTCTCCGCCCTGAATAGATAGAATGAAACAAATTACACTAATTATTAATATCCGAACCAATTATTCAGTTTTGAATTTATGTAAAAACATATGGATTTTCACAAAAGGATTTTGAATTGAACGAGATAGTCGAAGTATTTTAAATAGACCAATGTATATTACTTACTAAGAATCGGATAGGAAACTCCAATTAGAAGTGATTTGTTGTTGGAATGTAAACTGGAATCTCGGCATATTAGACCGTAGTCATCCTCTCCCCACTGCATGCTCCAACTGTTTATTACTTTTTAATAATTGATCACATCCTTTACATCATACCCAACGATAACAATAACGTGCATCTCCACCCTTGTCGGGAACCCTGTAAACCCTCCGTCCTGAATAGATAGAATAAAATAAATTACACTAATTATTAATATCCGAACCAATTATTCAATTTTTAATTTATGTAAAAAAACATATGAATTTTCACAATCTTGACTTTTGCCACAGATCTTAAGGATTTCGCAACATAAAAAGGACTATATAAAAAGAACAAAAACTACTCACCTTGAGCTTCTTTAATTCAAGTCTGACTTTTATCACAACACCGATGGGGTGATCAATGACACGCGATAGCAAAGTTTATTCGTCCTCAGTTTTAATTTTCTCATAACCCAGTATCTGATATATTGGTGTGTTCTGAAAAATAAACAAAATTAATATTATAATACTTTTTCAATTAGATAGAAAAAGCTAAAACACAATAATTGAATAGACTTGATCTTAATTACCTCCGTCCGCACCATGCAGTCCTTTTTGCTCTTATGGAAGGGGCAATCCCTTTTGTACATCACCCCCTCTTTGCTTTATACACTCAAAGGCTCTGATGATAGAACAAGTATAGCATCCAGCTGCGTCGATTTTACCCCAAGACGAATAATGATGTGCGTAGTAGTTGATAATGTCTTGGGGTGCAAGTTGAATCAATTATCGATTCATATGAGTGATTTTTTCTTTTGCTTCACAGCAGGTGCACGCCGTTATACACTAACAGCAACCTGAATCCAATACAATCAAGATACAGTCAAAAGCAATAGTCAAAAAGTGGCTTCACTCTATTAAGAACAAAAGAAATACAAACAAGGGCATTGATAGCAACTGATAAGGCAACACAATCATATAAATAGTTATTTGTTTCAGACCTTTAAATGGTAAATTTCAGGAAAAATATATGTTTTGTCTCACTAGTGCTCAAATGAAAGAAGCAGATAAAAATAAAAAATAAATTGAGATTTATTTTTTACTTTGATTCCCCCAAAGTTTATCCACTTTTTCACTTCAAAACCATAATTTTTTCACCAATTTCATACCTAAAGCTTCAATGCCATTTCACTTTGATACTTCAAAGTACCTTCTTACCATTTTGATAAACCAAAGATTCAATCTCATTTCATTTTGATACGCCTATCTACTTATCGTTAGATTTTGTATTAAATTTGTATCATGTGCTTACTAACTGGGTAAAAGAGATTTAATGTATAACATGTTGAGGATGTAGTATAAATTTAGTAGGAATCTAACAAAATATGGACAGGGGGTATCAACGTGCAACTTAATTGAAACATTGGGTTATCAAAATGTCAAAGAAATATCTTGGGAGTATCAAAGTGAAATGGGATTTACACTTTGAGTATCAAATTTTGGAGTTTCAAAGTATTAAGAAGATACTTCTTAAAAATATATTAGAAGATACAATATATCCTTTGTCCGGCAAATGCAGGTAAGATGTCATCCTATTGAGTTTTTAGACACCAGATATGCATATAGTTTTGCATACTTATTTGCAGCACGAATCGACGAGCTTCATGCAAAACTCTATCTACAAGTTACAAGAAAAGATTTAATAAGAAGTTCTCGATTTTTTCACGCAACACTGAATGAGCTTCTTCTTCTTCTTTTTTGACAACCGTATTATTAGCTAGTACTTCACTTCATGTGATGCGTGCCTCACACATTGCATAATTGTGTTGAGTAAACAAAATTTATCATTAACACATATCCTAATACAAATAGGTGTGTAAAAACATTACTGCAAATAACCCTTCAAAACTTTTTAAAAGAGGTTTCATTTTCAGGTTTCAAACAATAGTCACTGAAGACATATCCACGCAATAAATCAACACAAAGTATGAATCTTTATTTTTGATAAGAAGATAGCTGTGGGTTTTAAGTTTAAAAATAATTTAGCTAGTCATGAATTAATTCAGATATTAATATATTATATGTACTTTTCAGTGCACGCAATGCGTACATGTCAATAATATTGTTCACACCTTAAGTATAGGTTAGTTTGAATAAGGACTCCTATTGAACCAAAACTGATGTTATCACAAAATGATTAAACACATAGTCACTGGCCCACTCCAACAAGTGACAGAACCTGCCATTTCTAGGCATTAAAGATCAAATCTATTAGTATTCCTTAAACTTGCATGATACATGAAAATAAAGAAAACCTACAATCAATATAAATAACAATTTTCAAGAAAAAAAAAATGTTCCTATTTCTGACTCATGAACAAAGATTCTCAATGATGATTGCAAACATCGATCTAGGGTTCATAGGGGCTTCTTTAGCTTCTCCAACGGAGCAATTTGAGCTAGCTCTAGATGGGTACAATGAAGGCTTGAGCTCAATGTTGATGGAGAGCAAAGTTGAGATGCCTGATTGAACTCTAGAGAAGAGGGTCGGGACATGGAGATCTATATTCAAAAATTGTGGAAAGAAATTGGCAATCCCCAATTTTACTTACTAAAAAGCTGGAATTTTACCTAGCAATAGCTCGCAAAAAATATAAAATAAACTAAAAAATCAAAACACGGCATTAGGTAAGAGTACTACTTTTAATCTTTGGAGATGGACTTCAATGCTATAAATTCAATAAAGAAACAATAGAGAAAACATCAAACAATGAGAGGAAAAAAAAATCAGCCACGAAAATAATCTCACCTAAAATTTCCAATGCCTCCCAATCCAATCTAGGCTTCTGATATTCTACTAGTAATGTCTTCATCATCGTCTTCTTCCATCGTCGGAGAGAGGACTCGACGGCGAGAAAATTGTTATTTACTGATAAGAGAGAAAAGAGAGAGTTGTAATTTTCTGTGAAACTTCTACGAAGGCCCAATGAAAGGGGGCTTCTTATAAGATCAATTTATTATTATTCAATTTGTGTACTTTGTTCTCACGATATTGGTCTCCAAATCTTTCATTTTTTTGAAGTTTGTACACCAAATCTTCATATTTCGAAGTTAGTCCTCAAGACTTTATACTTTGCTATTGGTCCCTGAAAAGTTTTCAGTGTTTTTGGTGTTTTGAGTTTAGAACATGTGGTTAGCAGCTTGTTGAAATTTAAAGAATATTTCGTAACATTCAAAATTTGATAGTGTGTCCACATTTCTACCCACTATTAAAAACTTGATAATTTGTCAATCTACTAATTTTCAACAGTGTCTTTCAGGGAAAATTGATCCATAACTTGTTTGAAGAAATAATCAGGTTGTCAGGTTTTAATAGTGGTTAACTGCAAGAAAGTAAGACATCGTCAAAGATTTGTAGGTTGAGTTTCAGCAAGAGAAGGAATTATGTTTTTTTTTTAACTTAACTTACTCTACACTAAGATAAATCCGAAGAACCGCTATTTTAATCACAATGGTCTATTATTTAGTCGACAATTAGAGCAAGTGCAACAAGCTCCCAGTTGGGAGTCCTAGTCAGCAAGCTCTCAAGAGCTCTCAAGTATTTTAGAATAAAAAATTAACAAATTAAGTCTTGGGAGGCACTCCTTCTTTTATGGAGCTCCAACAAGCTCCTAGTTAGGAGCTCCAACAATATCAAAAAAACCCCTCTTCTATTTTAATATTTTATCTCAACTATTTTTTTTTTATCTTTTATTTTAAGCTTTGTATCAGCTCCCTTTTCCATCGTCACCGTACTCCTGGATCAAGCAATAAAATTTAAAGCCACAAACCCAAACTGGGCAACGGAAGGGATCAAAAAAATAACAAGGGAAAAGCATCGGTTTTGATTACTGGGTCACGAGGAGGGCTCGAAGAGAGGCCGAAGCAAGAGGCGCCGAAAGCCCTAGATCTCGGGCGGCGGGGCCCACTCGTCGCCGGCGACGGATCCTTGCTGGTCCCTGAGCCCATCGATCGACCCCAATCCGATCGGACCAAATCGAGATGCGTAGAAGTTTGTTGCGGTTTCATTTCATCGGGAAATGGAATAAACAAGAACAAGAAGAAGAAGTTGGGGGGAGCTTTGTGCAAAATTTTCCCAGTTGGAAGCTCCCAAGAGCCACGTCAACCTAAGGAGGGGGCTTGGGAGCGGTTAGGAGGCTGCTGGAGGGGGTGAAGCCGGAGACCACTGCCATGTAGGCGCTGAGAGAGGGCTTGGGTTTTTAATAATAAAAAATTATAGTTTGATTTCGGTTCAGATTTCGGTTCAGATTGCCGAGATTCATAAATAATAAAAAATGAGAAGTAAATGTTTCAGGCTCACATCGTTCTTTGGTTTTTAATGAATTAGGCAGTGAATTTATGGAGCTATTTATCACTCTTTATGTAGAGGGAGGTGATGACAGTAAATGCGGGATTAATTGGTTTCCTTTATTAATTCTTGCCCACCCCTCTTTTTATTTATTTTTTATTTTTATTTAGCTCGAACATCTCATTGGTCCCCGGGCAAACTTGTAATTATTGTTAATTAGATTGCAGGAACAGTTAAAATTCGATTATAAGTGTGGGTCACGAAATATTTTTTCAGAGGCATATAAAAGCAAGGATATTATAATCTATCCCTTACAAAAGAGAAGAGCATGCATAGAATAAACCGAAGTAATTTGCACCATTCTTGGGTATTTTAAATTTTAGGCTAAATAAAATGCCTAGCTAATGTTTGTGGGAGTAGTTGAGCATTTAATGCGTACTTAAGCTCTATTATTAAGGTATTTTAAATTTTAGGCTAAATAGCACTTAGGACCAGTTTAGCATTGCTTGAGATTATAATAAGTTGCTAATATAAGTAGCCTATATAAAAAATTTATATAAGCTGATGAAAATAGTCGTTTAGTAATCATACGTTAAAGTCTAATTCTAAAAGTAGTTAAAGCATTTGGCAAAACTATGCTTAAAGATTATTGTCAACAGATAAATGCCACATGGTATATAAACTAAAAAAAACATAAGCTGATTAAAAAATCACCATGAGATTGCTTCTAAAAACACCCTCTTAAAAGCAGAAGCAATTTCAATAAGCATGGAAAAAAAATGTAACAAACACCATTATTAACCGTTTCTTATAAAAACAAGCAAATGTATCCCAAAAAAACAATATTTAAGCTATCCCTTAAATACCATATAGTTACACCACTTTTTACACTTAAGCATCTAAGTTGTATTTCATATCACTTATATACCCTAACTTGTTGAAAAATTGCATGTTGGTACCTTTTATTACCCATATAACAAAATGTTCCGTAGAATATTCCTGATCACATGAGAATTTAAAATTGCTTTTACCCTATTGATTGTGATATGTACTCTTTTACCTACCAATTTCTCTAATATTCATTGTTTTCCTCTTCTTTAAATCACATATTGCTTTCTTTCTTATTTCTTAACAAATCGCCTTCTTTTACACCCGTATCTAGTGGTTATGGTATTGGTGAAGAGATAAGACTACGGTTCCTTTGAAATGGCCGGACAAGATTAAACAATTTAATTCTAATTTTAAAGTCATGGCTTCATTCCCAACTTCAATCAAAAATCTCATTAAAAAACAAAAATTTCCAATTGCAACCATGGGCACACAATTAGCCCATCACTTGTAAACAATAAACAAATTTTGAAAAAAAAAACAATTGTATTTGGATAACATCCATCAGTCTGAGTAACAATCACATGATTTCAAACTTTGGATCAACTCTAAGTCATCCAGCAACTCCAATCCTTTGGTTTGACGATTGTCCAAGATCCCCAATTGAAGATCTCAATTATAATTTCAATTTTTTTCTCAATTTGTACAACTAGGGTAATGTTGATTTGGGAAAAGTCATGGTAAAGAATGGAAAAAATGGGGTTTTCCCCTTGTGGAATGTTAATTTCAATTAAGGAGCAATTTTGTCTTTTGATGTGATTTTTAATGTTGTTTAACAAATTCTAAACGGTGAACAAGTTAGGGTATATAAGTACTGCAAAATATAGCTTAGGGTATGTAAGTATAAAGGTTGTGTAACTACAAGGTATTTAAGTACCATCTAGCCTATTTTTGAATTAGTCTCTTAAATCATTGAAACTATTATTAGGTCTCTACATCTCATAAATTATTCCAAATTAATAATTGCAATCTCTACTTCTATTCTTAGCCTCGATTAGACTAATTTCAAAATAATAAAGATGTAAGGGACTAATATGAAATAAAGCCCAGTAGCTATCAATAGGGGTGGAAACGAATCGAATCTGAACAAATAGTGCCTTATATGAATTCGGCTCAAGTAGCACTATTTGTATTCGTGTTCGAATCCGACTCCAATAATCTTCAGAATTCGAATTCGCTTCGTTTAGTTGTGTACGTGTTCGGTAACTATTCCCGAACATTCGATTAACAATATTACATGGTTTTGATATCAAGTTATTCATCAACTATTCGGTATCTATTCGTCAATTACTCAAAAATCAATATATTTGGAATCTACAACAATATAGCAATTACCAAGATACCAACTTACCCACTATGTCAGTATCACATTACTATTCGAATTCGACACGAATAGTACATAAATCAACATGCATCATGTTATGAAAAAAATCGTTTTCAATTGCTTAAAAATCAAAACAAAATAAAAATACTAATTTTCACACTGGATCAAGACCCAAATATCTTGATTTCCCATCATAAAATCATAGGTCATGAACGATTTTTTACATTAAATGATGTTGATCAATTTTAACAGAGTGGACTCTAATAATGGATACTTGAACATCAAGTTCCAGTGAGAGTTTTTGCTCCAAATCTTTCCCAAATGACATTGTCTTTGGTTATAAGTTCTTTTTTTTTATCATAGGACATAATTTATGGATTTGATGTGGAAGCTGATCTTCATTAGTTGAGTTTATTTTTACAGGGTGACATCTTTAGCAAGTAATTCATAAAATGTCTCTTCTATTTTCATTCAGTCCCATCTGCTTCTTTGTCATTGAGATTTCTTCTTTTCCTTTCAGGTGCTTCTTCGTTGGTGATACATCTTCAAAAAGAGATCCCAATGCTTACTTCGATTGTACCTTCAGCTTATATGATTATTTTCTTAGGCCTCGTTTGGTATGCGGGAATGGGGTGGAATGGAATGTCATTCTCACTTCTTGTTCCCTCATACCAAACAAAACTTATTTTTAGATGTTGGAATGACCATTCCCATGGAATGGTCATTTCCACTTTTTATGGGAATGAGCATTCCAAGTGAAAAGATAGGGAATGATCATTCTCATTCAATGGGAGAATCAAATTAGTTAGGTTTTTTTTTAATTATACCCCTATTAATGATAAGAATCAATTTAAAAATCATGGCTTTTGACTATGTATTCTCATTTTCTCTCAGCTAGTAATTATATTCGAACAATAGGAATTTTTTACGGGGTAGGGATTAAAACTAGTGGTATATATTTCAGTAGCATGTTAAAACTAGCGGTACATATTTCATTAGTCTATTATATCACAATTGCTCAATATAGGAACAACACAATTTAATATAAAAACAGATACAACTGAAACTATATATTATTTGCCGATTGAAATTCTTTCATGTCAATATTTTTTTTAGTCAATCAATTTTTTTTGTTTATTCACCAATGTTTAAAGTCTGTTATTTTCACCAGCATATTATATTCTTTTTAAACTTTTGTTATTGTTTTCCCACCATAGAGAACTATATGTACCCACTGCGTACATGTTTGATTGTGGTTCATGCACAACAATAAATCTAACTTTTGATTGAAAAATATTTGACCCAATATTTATGAAAAGAGGAAACTCTCGCTGAGAAATTGGCCAAAATATTAAAATTATCAAAATCATATCATGTCTAGACTATATATAGAGGTATAAGGGCATTATTATAACACATACCTAGATTAATATAACATATGCAGAAAATAGTAAGAATTGTTTAAAAAATATAAACGAAACATACACCTGATCGATAACATGCGCATTAGTATAACACATACCTAGATTAATATAACATATGCATAAATAATTTTTTTAGTTATTATCATTAATGTTTATTTTTATCTTATTAAAAATATATGTTGTTATAAGGGCATTATTAGAAAATGAGATTCCATTCTTACTTGTGAACTAGTGATACCAAACATGGGAATGAGAATTAGATTTTCATTCTAGCTTGTGAACTAGTGATACCAAACATGGGAATGAGAATTAGATTTTCATTCTAGCTTCATTCTACAAACGCACTCAAACAAGAGAATGAGAATAGCTTCATTCTACAAACGCACTCAAACAAGAGAATGAGAATGACCATTCCATTCTCACATACATTCCATTACATTCCTTCTTCCATTCCATTCTCACTTGACTTCATTCCCACGTACCAAACGAGACGTAAAGGAATACTATCTGTTAAAGCATTCCTAACTGCCCGATCACAAAATCCACATTCATC